GAAATGACGTGAAGAATAAAATTAAAGACTAACAAACAATTCTTTTCGCAACTGCCCCTTTGTCTGGTTCCAAAACGATTTTGTTCTTGTAAAGGGCTGATTCTGAATATTAAAGATACGGATAAGATTGGCGAAAAGATTTGGATATGAGATTTTTTTCTACAGTTGTTACAACGAAAATATGTCGTTACCTTATTATGACAGGCCGCAAACAAAAATGATCTTTGTTTTGCTAAAAAGAGAAGAAAACCTCTAAAACGTAATGTTACCGAATTAAAAATACAGCAGAATTTCTAAAATAAAATTTTAAAAGAAGATTGGGCACAGGTGGTGGCAAGCATTTGCGAAAAATTTCTCATTTACCATGAAAGCAAGAAAGTATCTTTCTGCCTAACAGTTCACAGCATTAATAATAGTCTGTTGCTAATTTCCAAGTCTTTTCTTATTTCACTTTCTGGTGCGTTGTGCTTTTAAGGGAGCATATTGTAGGGGAAATTAACTAACAGCATCAACGAAGTTCAGGTAACTTACTTCTGTACTTGCAGATCACAGCAGCTTTAGACAGAGGCGAGGTATCACTCCATACTCCACTTTCACTAGCTGCGTGAGTAGCTTCTTTTTTTGGGCAGCACTGATCCGGTTGACCCTTTTTCCAATTCAAAAATGTTACTTGTTCTCCAAACTGCCATACCCATTCTCCCGAATGAAGAATCAGTGAGAGCCAGAACGGATGGAAATCGGAAAGGTCTAAATTATCCATGAATGTTAGAGACATTTTACGTTTAGAAGAAGTAAGACATGCTTCTTCAAAAAAATTTATTTTATTAACCCTAGTTTATTAAAATATCAAAAGTGTCAAAAAAGTTTTACCGTTAAGGAATTCCTGCTCGTTAGAAGAAGCGACATGCACTAACTCTGCTCCCTTGGCAATGCAATAATTCCGAGCAGTCTCATATTCTACTCTTTCAACCCCCTGTAATTTTCTGATTAGTTGTTTATGTTTTACTTCATTTGTTCTGAAAACATAGAAGCAAAATAATCAAAACGCTTTTTGACAAACGGCAACCTGGTATTATTTGTTTTCTAAGACTTTGAATTCTGGTGTAGAATTTTTGATTAAATCTTACTTTGACGTTATGAATAGTTTTGCAATTAACTAACTTACAAAACTGTAACAAAAGTCTTGAAATTCGGTGAAGCTTGGCCTACAGCTTTCCAGTGCTAAAATTCTTGTTTGAAGTTAAAAGTTATTTGGGAATAGATGTCAGTTAGTTGTCGATGACCAATTTTTACTGAAACTGTATGTTTTATTCGCTATAATAAGAAGTCAAATAATCTTTTTAACGTTTTATCTGTTTCGAGAGTTAAATTTTTGAAAAGCCTGATAAAATAAGGTTATTTCTCTTGAGTCGTAATAACTACTCAAATTTCTTAAAAACATACGATTAAGTCGGCAAACAGAGGCTAATTCCAATTCACAGCTGACTCGTTCCCATTTACCACGCTCAGTAGCACAAATGCACTTTTGAGTACTAATAATTTCTTGCGTTAATCCGTAACTGCCCCACGTATTATAATCAACAGTTTGTGAATCTACCCATCCCCATTCCTCATTCACTTGTTTCAGCCCTATCCACCATTTTGTTCCCGGAAACACTGCTGAATAAGCATTTGTTACATTAAAACGAAGACTGTGGAATTAATCAATTTAAAAAGCAAAAAAAATATTTTAGGTAACTCAGAGTAAAACGAGCTTCTTGATAATTTTTTCATGAAACATATCAAGATCACTGGACAGATGCAAAAACTTCCCACCTATATTGTTGCCGAAGTAGAAATGCCTGGTAAACTATAGTATATATAGTCTTTCAATTTTTATAGATAAAGTCATATTAGTATGATCAATTATGAGTTCTTAAACATCCAAAATCAAAAAAAAAGCTGATTAAATAAATAATCAAATACTTTGTACGCGTTTAAACTGCTCCACAGAAGAAAATGATGCCAGATTGCCACCAAGCACTTCACAGTAACGTTCGGCATCTTCGAAAATCACCGGTTGAGCTATCTGGAATGTTAATAACTGGTACAACCTCATCTATTCTTTGAACAGCTGGCAAATGTATTCTTTTTTCCCCTCAGATATTTTCATACGGATTCATTTCTACTTTCTCTTTCACTAAGTTCTATAAAAAAGAACTAAGGAATGGCGGAATGTCGGCACAAATTTCGGCAGCTTCACTGCCAGACGAGAATTCCATTCTCAAATTTTGCATAATGCACGCAACTCAGGAACACTGCTATATTTTGAATATTCAAGAAATACCGTTTATAATTTTCCAATTTGTTAAAGCCACTTTAATACAAAAATTCTCATAAATTCTTACGTCCCCGTTTTCAAGCTGAGAAACGCATCTCACCAAATACTGAAAAGCAGAGCTGCGTTCTCGCCAGCGTTCTAGAGATCCAAAATTTCTGCTACTTAAGTCTGGGTAAAGCAGTTTCAAAGAGGATTCGCATTTTTATTCTAAAAGAGAAAAAGCAGGCAAAATCTATGTAATATTACAATTTTAGACGATTTCGGAGAAGCATAGGAAACATAGCGCAAGTCAGAGTTTCACAAGGCAAACCAGGTGTACAGAACAAAACCAGGTTGCCTAAACAGCTACAAACTCTTTTGCGAAACTGAGCTAGTTTTCTCACAAAAAACATTTTCAAACAGTTACGTAGCTTTTCTTGGAATATCATTTATTCAAACACGTTCTCAGTGCATTGCTGATTATCAGTGTCAGACGTAGCTTTTCTGACCAAAACATAAAGAGAGAAATAATCTTTTTAAAAAGTGAATAAGAAATAGTTTTTGAAAGCTTAGTTTAAACGTTTACCTCACCATTTTACTCTAAGCACCATCACTCTGCTGTTCTTCTTTTTCTTTTAACCTCAACTCAATAGTTTCAAGTTAACTCAGTCTTACATATATCTGTCTCGCATTACGGCTTGAACTCTACTCTGTTTTAAAAAAATACGATAAACTCTTTAGTTTCGCTTGTACTTAAATTCACGACTGACATAAAATCTATTCAAGGTTAGAAACGGTAAGCAAAAACAGAAGAAATTATCGTCTTTGAAGCATCTAAAAGATCAACATTATAAACTATTATTACTAAAACCGAAAACTGTAAAGCGAATTAAGTGCCTTGCTAGAGCATTTCATTCTCTACTAGGCACTGAGGTGTCAGGGTTAAATTCATTTCGACACAAAAGTTTGATTTTATTGCTAAATCTGTCGTAATTTAAGTCGAATAATGACAAGGCAGAGCTTTTTTAACTAGTGTTTCGTATTAAATTTGTATGACAGATTTATGTATAAACGAAAGTTTTTATTTAAATATTTAAGTGCGGAAGTGTTTTAAAGCTTTACAGAGAAACTAGAAGAGTTTTTGAAAAACTTAACGTATTCACTTCTCACAAAAGTTCTGTATGCACAAATTTGACAGTAAAGATATTTTTGAGGATGTAGCACTCTAGAGGAGAAATTCCCAGTCCGCATTTAGATCGAAAAGTAAGGATTCTCATACGACACTCAGGATGAAAGCAGATTTCGATACCAAAACGTCAATTTTTGAAAAAATCCGGTTTCCTTAACAGATCTTACTTCCTAAACAGGAAAACCGGAGCTAGCGGTGAAGAAGCTTATTTTGTTATCCATCTCAATGCAGTGCCCAAGTAAACAAAGCCTACTTGGAAAAGATCAAAATAATAACGGTTTAAATGTCTTTCATGTACTGTTTTCAAAATCTCCGACTTTTCAGGCTTTCTTCAAGGTGGCATAAAAAACTATTTGCCTCTTTGCTTTTCTCCGGACAACTTCCAGTTAACCATCAACGTGACTACGTTAACAATATTCCTCTAACCATTGGAATCATAGTGGCTAATCATCTTCGCCGCAAAAGACCTTTACTTTTCTAAATTTGCTAAAACTGATATTGTTGATAACACCTCATAAAATACAGTTTTTCTACAATGAGCCTGCACATTTCATCCTGAAACCGTTTGAAGAAACCAAATAAGAAGTGATCCACAATTGGCACAGCATTTATGTGTATTACAACAGGAGCATCTCTGAAGAATATGTTAAACTTAATTTCTGATTTCTTGTCTTACATTTTAGTATATCTGTGTTTTTTGAATGATAGGGCAAATTAAAGGTTAAGAAACGAGCATTTATGACTCTGGTAAATGCATGCAAAATAAAATTAGTTAAATAAAGCAAAAAAACCAAAAACTAAAACTGAGAAACTTGCAACATCGTTAATATGTAGGCGTGATATTTTGGTGTAAACTGTTATTAATGAGAAGGAAAGTTAAAGATAACATACTTCTTTCGAAATACATTATCTTTAACCTTCCTTCTCCTTAAGAATAAAATTATTTCTTCAATGATTTTCTTAACTCATGATTTGCTTTTGAAAGCATTTCTAACTACTTTTTTAGAACTTTTACATTGTTAAAACTTAAACTTTGCGTCTCAAAGCGACAAACAAAACAGTTCTTTAAGTTTCTGATTATTACTGATCAAAGTTCACAACGAAGCTACTCCCTTTAGGTTTTTAAGCTAACTTCTTTGCTTCTTCGCATTCCTTTCTTTTTTTTCTGTTCAACCTTATAGGTGAAAAGGGGAATAAAATAGCTAGCTTTGTAGTTGGCTCTCATGCAGTAAATTTTTTAGACGTTCGTTAAGCGCTGCGATAGGCTTAAAATTGGTAATTGAGTAGTGGATCTCCTTGTTCTTGATGCATAGTGTTCTTCTCGTTTTTCGTTTTCTTTTCCGGCATTCTTATTCCTGCTTCAGCTGTTGCTCTGAAGACTATGTCCGTGAGGTTTAACAGTAAATTAAGAGGATACAACTGGTCACAAAAGAAGAGGAGGGTTAGAGAGGTCTTAAAAAATTTTCAAGTCATTTGGATTGTCGTCCGGCTTATCTATGCCTGTTTCCTATATCACATGTCAAGAACGCTCCGCTTTCCTTAACAACATTTTCAAAAGAAATTCCCACATGTTTGCATTTTATGAGCTTGGGGAAAAATATTTTGATCAGTTTGCAAAATAGACGTTTTATTGCATGCAACTATAATTAAAGCAGAATTGCTGATATACTAGTCAGACATTTCTATCGGTGTCAGCCGAGAAGATTAGCTTTTGGTTAGTAATATTTTGAACTGTGTCTCAAGCTTATGAATATGGTACATATGAGACTGTTGGTAACATTTTGAACAGATCTTGACAGTTTTTGACGATGTAAGATATTTGAGATATTTTAAAGTATTTCCAAAACTAGTCTAACAAAAATAAAAGGTTGCTGATTATTCAAATAAAGGCACAGTTAAGTCTTAGAGTTAGCACGCATTACTAATAGAACCAATAAACAGTAAGCACCTATAAAAAACTATTTTTCGATATCGCTGTTTTTAAACTCGGTTGTAGATTCACCTTTACAGTCCACGAACAGTAAGACCAAACGCCATTCTTCTTATGCATTTATTCCAACATATCAAAAAGTAGCTGATTGTAGTCTTGTTTTTAACATTGTAAGAATTTATTTCAACTGCAGAGCAGTGCTCTTCGATTACTAATAAATTAATTTTCTATAGCATCAAAGTATTTTTGTTGCTATGCAATTCATGACCTTAAAAATTTTGCACTATCTGATTCGCTTTTGCCATTTCAGTCATCCCTTGTTCACCCTTATAGATAATGTCGTATGTAACTGTCATTTCACCGTCTTATTTCTAGTTATCAGGAGCCCTCATTTAGCAGAAAACTAAGCCAAAAATTTTTAAGAGATTTTTACTTAAAAACAATCACCTCTTTGATATTGGTGAAAAATCGTCAACGGATAATTGTTTAAAGTTATTCACTGAATAACCTTACCAGTTTGAAGCATATTCTTTCTTCTTCATACCAGTCAGGTGGACATAAATTTTTTTCTGCAATTTACTAGAATATTAACGAAGAACTTTATGAAAAAATTTTTTTGTTATTTTTTAGGATTATTTATTACAAAAAGTGAAAAGTAAGGTTGCAAGTAGAAATCCGGTCACCCAGACGATCAACCACTGAAACGTTCATCGAATCACCTTTTATTAATCACTGTTCATGATAACCCTTGCTTATCCTTCATGATCAGCGTAGGCTTGTTGATTACTTTTCTTAAAAACCTGAAATAGTCAAGTTTCCTACCTTATTTTAGTAATATTGTAGAATATTGGCAGAATTGGACTAACTGACAAAAAGACAACTTCAAGGAGTGAATTGATTATTACTTGTACTACAGGTTTTTTTTAAAAAAAGATTGTTTTTTGCGCCAATTATACGTTAGATCATCGCTCTGTTAAAACAAAAAAAATTTTGTAAAGGCACCTAAAAATAACAGCACCTAAAAAATGCAAAAAAAATATCTCATACATGTTTCAAAATAGTTCTAAAAGATTATTTGATTCAAAACTAATGTACGAAGACATTCTTCTACAGTGCTGGATTCTAGAATTTTGAAACATTATCTTTTCTTACTCTCAACTCTTATCACTGCATGTTTTTATATCTACGCTTATTAAATCTGACGCAAGTTTACTTATTCTTCAATTTTTTAATTTTATAAAGTATTTTTTTTTCTAAGTTTTCTAAGCTCAATTTTCTCAGCGTCACTTATAATTTTTTATCTTGTTCCCAATTTTTTTCTTCTTTTTCTCTTTTTATTCCTACAACTTTGTCTTCAAAGTGTTTATAAATTGAGTGAAAGCATAAAATTATTTGTGTATGTATTATTTACAGTTGTCAGAGTTCTAAAAATTTGTTTCACATCTGTATACGGAGAAAACTAATAGAGAAGTTTGGCAAAGGTCGACAAAAATACATTATGATCAACGGCTGCTATTGATGCATTAATTGTGGTCTCTTAAGTTGACAATGTGCTTGACAAAATTTTAGTTACAAACACAATTATTGCAACAGTCTCTTTTATTGTTTTATACCTAATGTAGCTTTATCGGCAACTCGAACTTATTGCATTGAAGTGATTACAGTTATGCAACCTTTCTAAAAAAATAAGCTTGAAATGTTTTGAAGAGTTTCAGCAGATGATCGCCTGGTTAATCGTCCAAAAATGTTTCATATGTCGTTAAAACACAGAACGTTCCGTTCAAAATGGTGCAGTTTTCTCAACTCATTTCTCAAAATTTCGTTTGATGTAGCTGTTTGATAGAGTCTAAGCTAGTTTAAAGAAAGTCGAAGAGAGGCTTTGAAACTGTAGATCTCAAGCTAAGTTACACCTTTAAAGTTGAAACATATGCGAGATTGCTATTAATTTCAGAAATTTTTTATGGTGGATTACGCTTTACATTGTAAAAATTACAGCGGTTCTATAAAAGAAAAGTTGAATAACAAATCCAGTAGCTAGATAAAATATTTAATTATGGAACTGCTTATTCTTCAAAGATTAAGTTTCCTCACAAGAATAAAATATGTGAATCATGAATTGAGCATTTTATCATCATTATGGTGAATACCAAATTTCTGTTAAACAGTCAACAGAGTTTACAGCATGTTAAAACTAAAATGTTTTTTGAGCAATTCGCTTTTAAGAAACTGCTGTCGTCGGTTAGTGCCCAAGATGTTCATCAAAATGAATTTAACTATTCACATTGGTGAACTGAGAACGGAAAGTGAAAGCTGTCGCACAAGATGGTGACTTGCACAATCTACGAAAGATCATGCATGGGGCTCAGCAGTTTTGCTTGTAACATTCGTCCCATACTTAATTTTGAATCTCAATTTTTTTACAAAACCTTAAACCCTAATTAACTAGATTTTGATTTGTTAAGACATCTTAGATGTTTGAGATAGGCACTACATAAAGTCATTTTTGGAATTTCATGTTTTTGTACAGGTCGCTCGTATCAGCCACGATTTTGTCAGTTTTTGGTCAAAATAAAGGTTGAAGAACTCACCTATCTGATAATTAAACGTTGAAAAGTAGAGTATGCCACTTATCTTAGAGAGGATTTAAAACTTTTAGCGTTACGTCGTTTACAAATATCCCTCTGTAACAAAAAATACAACATATCACTTTTTAATAAAAAAGTATTAAAGCTTAAAAGAAGTAATTGTGAAGCGTGTCACAAGAAAAAATTCAAGAGTATATGAGTAATAATTAAGGTAAACAGTGCGGTAACCTACAGTAATTTATTATATAAGCTCCTTCTTTTCTTCTACTCTGCCTTACTCATCTTCTTTGACATATTACAATATTACAGTATGTTAAAACAGATAAATAAGCTAAAAGGAAAAGAAGAAAAAAATAATATACAAAATTTCAAGCAATATATTTTTTTTGAACTTATAACCTTTAGTTAACTGAATGTTGATTTTAAGCCTTAATTTACACTAAAGTGCAACCTAATAAAATAAAGAATAAATAAGTTTATCAAGTCAAGAAAGCGACTT